CCGCCACTGCTGCCACTGCCCCCCAGTAAGCCTCCACCCAAGAGGTCACCACCACCCGCTCCGCCCCCGCCACCAAGCAGGCCCCCCAGGAGACCATTGCTCCCACCACCTCCACCCCCACCGCCACCGAGCAGCCCCCCCAGGAGGGGCCCGCCACCGTCAGCGCCGGCTTTACCCACGGGCACCTCTCTCAGGGCGGAGTGGAGAGCATCGCTCTGCTGTAGTGTGCCTGAGATAGCTGCAGAGAGGCACAGGGGTCAGTCAGGGTCCTCCTGCCCTCCCCAGCCCACCTTAGGCACAGTGTGGCCAGCTTCCTGGGCCACCTCTCCTCTCCCACCAGGAAGTGTGGGGCAGGAAGACCCCTCAAGGCTGGGTCACTCTGCTGGGCTTCGCCCGACCTCACTTGAACTAGATTTTGACCTATCCAGCCATGCCCAGCTAAATTTCCTTTGTCATTGCCCCTGTTCTAAGTGCCCTACACTTCGCAGCTTTAAAAAAAATTTTGATCTCATCGTGCATTATCTGTTCTTGGGAAACAGTCAGGGCCAGAATAACTGTCCCTGTTTGCCAGACAAATACACAAATACACGGAGGCCTGGGAAATTCTCGGAGGCAACTCAGGGCGGCAGGGACGGGTTTCACTCTCAGAACAGTGCTGGGCAAGAACTGGGGCAGGGAATGGGTCCCCACTTTCCAGACGACAGCACAGTCATGGAGGCAGGGATTATAGCTCCTGCATTTGAAGGCCTCCTAGGCCCCAGGAATGGAGCTCATTTAGTCCTCATATCAGTCCTCAGAGATAGGGATAATTACATCCTTTTTTCAGATGAGGAAACTGAGGTTCAGAGAACTCAAGTCAAGAATTTAAGGTCATAGAAGCAGGATTTGAATCATGAGAAGGCTGGTTCTAGGACCCAAATTCTTTTTTTTTTTTTTTTTTTTTGGTACCAGGGATCAAACTTGGGTCCTTGCACTTCAAGGCAGGCAGTGGAACCACTGAGCTAAGTCCCGGGCTCTAGGGCCCAAATTCTTAATCAGTGCTCTACTGCCTCAAGAAAATGAGAATAAAGTCCCCAGCACCATGCCTGGCACATAGTAGGCACTCAGGAAATGGTAGCCGGAGAAGTCACCCAGCCACTTGAGGTGGACTGGCCAGGGGGACCCGTGGGTACTTGAGTTGGCTGGCCCAACCTGCCCGCCCTGCACCGCCTCAAACCCCTTCCGGGCTGGACTCACCATTGCTCAGCACATCCTTGGTAACCCTGAGGACCGTGTTTGTCTCTTGGCTGCCGCACACAGCTACCACACACAGAGTAGCCACACACCACGCTGTCCACATGCCGGTGCTGCTTCCCTGCTGAGGAGACATGGCCGTGGCTGGGCATGACCACCTCAGCAGGCAGAAGTAGGGACCCTCAGCCAAGAATCATATCAGAATCCAGAGACATCCGGGCACAGTGGCAGCTGTAACCTCAGCTACTCAGGAGGCTGAGGCAGGAGATTGCAGGTTTGTGGTCAACTCATCCTACATAACCAGACTTTGTTTCAAAATAAAATTTAAAAATGGCCAGGGATGTGGCTTAGTGGTGAGCTGAACCCCAGTCCAGGGCAGTTGGGGTTGGGGAGGCTGTGGTTCTGAAACCACCTTTTGAATTTTTCAAACTGATATGAATCTGGTGATGCAATGTGGCTCCATTAACTAAATTGTCCCATAGCACGGGTGCCTAATTATCTCCTGAGATGAAATTTATAAAATGGGCCACCAGCAGAGGGGAACAAGAATTCCAACAAAACAGCAAACTGATAGCAGGCAGGCTCTGGGAAATCTCCCAGCACCCACCCATTCACCGTCCACCCTTACCCACGCCCCATCTGCTTCTTTACTCGTTCTGCCCTCCCACCCATCCCCTCGCACCCGTCCATCTATCCAGCCAACCATCTTCCCAGCTATCCGTCATCCATCCGGCATGCTAACAGCCATCCAGCCAGCTCTCTTCCGTCTGTCCATCCACTCATCCACACACTCATCTGGGCAACCTTCCAAACCTCCAGCCAGCAAACACCTTCCCGCCTCTTTGGATTCAGATCGGGCGCCCTGGATTCGTGCTGATTGGGTTCTACTCAGAGACTTGACCTTTTCAAGCCTGATCATGAATGTGCTGCATCTAATACAGACACTTGGTAAACTGTGACATAGTTATTGTTTGGAGACTAATATTTCAGATCCTCAAGAAGTGCGTAGGGAATGCAAGAGATTGGAGGGGTGAAGTGTGTATTTTGGGAGACTAGCTAGCTTCCCAGAAACTCCTGCTGCCTCCAAGCCCATGCCCACTTGTCCCACTGCATCTTTCCAAGCTCTTCATTCACCAGCCTCAGGGATTAGCCCAGGACAGAGTCACCCATCTTGTCCAAAGTGAAATTGTTGGCTTCATTTCCTTCTGTTTATGCATTTTATTCCAACTTCTCTTGAATTTCACAAAGCCTCCAAGCTCCCCAATGCCATCTGCTCCCAGAAGAGGTTTTAAGGCACTCATTTATACTAGAATATGAAGAACTATTCTGTTCAAGAATTTTTTTCTGGCTTCCTCACACCATCCCAACCCCACCGCCTAGAGAACTCTGTGTTCAGGGAAGGATCACTCCCTTCAGTTACAAAGGCAGGCACCAGAGGTGGGATTTCCTGCATCAACAAGCAGCTGATGAGTGTCAAGGAGACCACAAAGATTGAACATGGTCAAGATTCCTGGGAAAACACATGCAGCCTTGCTGGCACAGGTAATTGGCATGGCTCGGCCTTTCTGTGGGTCCCTTTGAGGTCGTCCCAGGGAGGCCTGTGTGACAGGTAAAACATCTGAGCTCATAGGGCTTGGCCTGGTGGCTCTCCAGTCGGGCTCTCTCCTCAGCACCTACTAGGCCTCAGTCTCTCCTGCTGGCCTGGACACAGAAAAGGGAGGGGCTCTTCCTTACCCCCAGCAGGTCCCAGCAGCTCAATCCCAAGAGGTCCCGCTCACCAGGCCCTCTGCTTTGGGCTGAGTCTTGTCACAATCAGCCTTATATAGCAGCTGTAGTCTGAGCCTGGACCCCAAGAGGAAAAGGCCATATAATTATGAGAGATCAGAATTAACAGAAACCGGAATTCAGATTTGCTCTGCAAATTGAGCATTGAACTCCAAAACCACAAATGTGTGGTTTACTGCTAATTCCAAGAGGTGTGCTCAGCCTGGATGGTGTCACATGAGCTGGGCTTCTCAGCCCCGGATCTGGACACATTCCTGGAGACCCCTGCTAAGCCCCCACATGGATGCATAAGGGCTTCAGCCCAGGCCAGGCACTGCCCATGCCAGAGGGCCTGAGGGGTAGACTGGAGCTGCTGGGGACCAGACTCAGCATCAGAGAACCCTGGTTCAAATCCTGCTCAATCCCCAACTCACTGTGTAACCATGGGCCAGTCACTTCCCTTGCCTGAACCTCACATTATTTCCATGTGTGACATGGGTATAATGCCTGCCTCACAGGGTGATTTGAAATGGATGGACAGGAGACGGATGTGGGTCCAATGCCTCCAACCTGGGGCCAGTGCACACAGCTAGCTGGGGTTTTTAAGACCTACCCATGGTGAAATTTTCACACATGCAGCAAAGCTGAAAGATTTATACAATGAACACACACATACTTGTCAGTTGACACCCTTCAGCTACATTGATCGTTTGCATTCTGCTGCATTTGCTTGGCCACATACTTATCCATCCATTCATTCGTTCAAAGAGAGTGCTGCTGCACCACGGTGAGTCCCCAGGCTGCACAGAGTACTGGTGAGAGCAGCTGACATCTGCTGAGCACCTGCTGTGTCCCAGACAAGGCATCCACAAGGCACTTAGCTTCACAGAGCCCGTGACAGGTGAGTGTTACCATGTGATTCCACGCAGAAGGCCACTGATGCCCTGAGAAATGGAATCTGACAGCTCCTGTGCAGCAGAACCAGAATGCAGGCCCCATAGCCAAGCCCAGGCCTCTCACTGAGGTGCTCTGAGAGTCATCCTAGCCATGTTTACCAAGTGCTTACATGGGTCAGACTCCTCTGCATGTACTACAATATGGTATGTTAGGGTGTCAGCCCAGGGAATTAGAAATCTAGAAAGCCCTGCTTTCTAGACAGTTTTTACCTGCAGTCTATAGACAAGGAAACTGAGGCACAGAGAGGTTATACCATGTGCCCAAGGCCATACAGTTAGGTAATGACAAAGACATGATCTGGACCCTGCTGCCCTAACACTCAGCTCCAGGTGCAGGCTCTGAACTTCTGCCCTTAGGGTAGAGGTGACACAAGGTGGGAAGCCACCCCATGGGTCCCTGTGGCAGCCCCGGTGAGCTGGCAGTGCTCAAAGGGGACAGGGCTGACTGGAAGGGTCTATGATGGTTCTGGGTGTGTTTCCTGATCTCAGCAGCCCCTGTGTGACCACAAACCGATACACACTTGACTCCCTATGTGGCTCAGTCACCTGCAGGGTGAGTCACCTTCTGGGAAATCTGGTTGTCCTTCCAGCCATCCCCACCAGGTCTCTCTAGCTCCAGACAAAGGGGCCTTTGGATGCTAAGCCCAGGTGATCTCCTTGGCGCCAGGCTTTGCTAATCCTCTCAGGGTGGCCAGAGCAGGCCCCTCCAGGGCTGAGAAGCCTTGCCCAGCCTTGCCTCCTGGGGTGCTGGTTCCTTTCCTCCTACTCACCTTCAAAATTCAACTCATCTCCCTTCAGAGAAATGTCCCAAAGTCAGAGATGGAGAGAGGCATAGAGGGAAAGATAGAAGTATTGAGAGGAAAAAAAGAGGGAAGAGAAGGGAAGGGGAGCAGAGAAGTGCAGGGAGGGAAAAGGAGGGGAGAAGAGAGAAGAGTAGAGAAAAGGAGAGCAGAGGAGAGGAGAAGAAAGGAGAGGAGAGGAGAGGCCAGGTCACCCAGGGAAGTCTGGGACTCAAAGTGTCAGTGACTAGGCCCCAAGTCCCCTCACCTCCTGGGAGCTCCTGCTTGGAGCTGGGGAGGGCATTGGTGGCTGAGGCTAAGGTGCACCCTGTGTGACCCAGAAATAAACCAGTCAGCAGGTTCTAAGGCTGAGGAGTAGTTTATTGAGGCCTGGGACTTTTGCAGAGGACTGGAGTGCTGTGAGCAGGTCCATGGTGGGTCCACAATCCCCACCCAGATGGGGGCAGAGCCGCAGGGCACTGGGCAAGGTGGGCCCAGGTGGGTAGGAGTCATTATACTGTCACCGACACAGGCCAGAGACTGAGGGGGAAGCTGAGTGCAGATAGCCAGGGCTCTGGTAGTCAACAGGGAGTGAGGGCAGCCATGGGAGCCTCAGGATGCCACAGTGAGCACAACGGCGTTCTGCAAGGAGCAATAGTCCTCGATTAGCCTCTGAGAGCTCAGACCCCAAACCCAGCCACGTCCCCACTCTTGGACCACCTGCATCATCCACCACTCCACCCTGCAGCTAGCGCGGCACATGGAACACAGCTGGTGCTCGACAAATGAATGTGTGGACAAATGGGTAAAGGATAATTGAATGACGCCCAGTGTGGGACGAGGTGCTGACTTGAGAGTCAAGTTCAAGTGCTATTTCTGCCAATAATAATGCGCCATGTGACCTTGGGCTAGAGATTTGGCCTCCTCAGCCTTGGTCCTCATCTGAATGCTGGGTACAGAACTTCCTGCTCTGACTACCTTCCAGAGCTGCTCCAAGACTCAAAGTTGGGTGGTTTGAACAGGATTGTTGGTAGTCAGCAAAAAGAAGTGTCATGATCTATTAGCCACACCTGCCACTTTACAGGTGTTTGCTACCTGTGGGCCTGGGGATCTGCAACTCTGTGAGTAAATGTGAGGTTCCATCCTACAGGCCAGACGTGTCTGAATTCAATGGGCAAGGATTCTGTGATCAACTGACAATGTCTACCAAGAGCGAGGCGGGAAGGAGTGGGAGCATGAGTGCCACATATTTGCCATTCCCAAGTTGCGTCATTTGTAATTCTTTTAGGAAACGGCACAGGGACAGACCAGAGGACGAGGCAGAGCATCTCCTCACGAGGGCCAAGCAGGGCTCTCCAGACACAGTGCTGAGACCCATCTAGGCCACAGCTCCATGGGAATCTCACCTCGATGATGTCCAGATTTGAACTGACAAAATTGACATTGAGAATCTTAGGCAGGGGAATTCCAACCTGCAGGTCCACTGTGACAGGGAATGATCAAAACAAAGATATATGAGAGTCGGGGGTGTCAGACCCTAGGGATCCTTGAACCCTGCTGACCCTCCTCCACTGCTTTCTTTGAGCCAGCCATTTCTCTTCTTGGGGATTTGGCTTCCTATTGGAAAACTACTATTCATCTTACTATACCCAAACAAAAAAGTCCCTTTTCTGTACTACACCAATGGCACCCCTCAGCAAAGCCTCCTGGAGCTCCATTAATCCCTTGCATACTCGGTGCCATCTACAGCCTAACCATTTGTTCATAGGACATTTCCCACTGGATTGGGGGTGTTCAAGGTCAGATATGCTCTTGGGCCTTAAATACTGGCACGATGTAGGTGTTAATCAATGCTGTTTGGATGGAAACATTGGCACCTCAGTTCCTGCATCTTACAAATGGGACCCTTAGAATGTTCTCAATCCCTCTCTTGCCTCAGTGTCCCTATCAGAGCAATGGAGAGAGGCAACAGGCTAGGACAATCCCGAGTTCTGACACCTCCTGTGTCCAAGAAGAGAGCAGAGGTCACCATACCATTGAGCTTTGGCACATATGCAGCCCGGAGCACATCACTGAGCCATTCTTCCAAATGGGATGCCTGTAACAGAGCCCACAGTGGTGGGGAGGTTTGACCCCACAGGGACAGCGCCGCTCTTCCCAGGGAAGGAGGCCAGAGGCCCATTCAGGCCTCCTCCAAACCCAAGGACACAGTCCCTGGCAAGCACAGGGCCCACGTGGATGGGCTGCCCACCAGGGATCCCCAAGGGCACTCAGATTTAGGGTGGCTTCACACTCAGCCTAGGAGTTCAGAAAAGGCACCCTTCCAAAAGTCTGTGGGGCAAGGGGAGCAGGGCAGTGCCTGAGAAAGAAGAAAGGAAGTGTGCCCAGCTCCAGGAGAACACTGAAGTCTGACCTAATATCTCTTTCAGCGAAGGGCCTCTTGGAATGTTCTAGAATAGTGATGGCGAACCTTTTAGAAACCTAGTGCCAAACTGCAACCCCCCAAAAAAATTTGTTGTCAAGTGCCAATACTGGAATTAAACCTGAATACTGAGATTTTAGTTTAGAAAACACAACTCTACATTAACATTTTTTGTTTTAAAAGAAAAACACAATAACACACATGCCATGGGTTGGCCACCACTGTTCTAGAACCTGAGCCCATTAAGAGAGTCTAGAACCTCAGACTCTGTGAAGCAGGAATCACAGGGTTCTGAGGGACTCTGAAATGTTAGAACTTTCTGAGGTAAGGAATTTTATTTCTTGTGTGACATTCCAGAACTTCGTGGGGTTCTAGATATCATAACTTTGTGAGAATCCACGACTTTGGAAGATCATGATTTTCACTTTCCTGAGATGATGGCTGTTGCACATATGTGCATGTACACACACACACACACCTGCCCGATGCTTGTCCGCCGTAGCTTACTGGGGCAGAACCCAGACTGAGGCCACCTCAGCCATGGCCCATGACCCATCCCCACTCCTTTCTTGCCCCACCTGAAGACACCCCCCCCGCCAGCGCCAGGCTTCTCCCCGACTCAGAAACTTACATCAAAGGTGTAGGCTGAGGAGACCAGCTTGCCACTGAGCCTGGCAGAGAGAAGAGAGAGTGAGGGGCCCAGCCCCCACTGCACCCCCTGCTGAGAGCTGTCCTGCCCACCCCAGCCACAGCTCTGCAGGATAGGGACACGGACGGGGGGGGGGGTGCTGGCTCAGCTCTGCCTCCACCCAGCTGGACTCAAAACTCAGTTTTTCTCCCTGTAAAGTAGACCAGGAAGGCTCTAACCTCCTTCTGAGAATCATGACCACCTCTGACTCTGACCATGGAGCCTTGGTCTGAGCCTAGCTGTTTGACCCTTTGTCCTTAGACTGAGCACTAGACACAGGATGCTCTGCATACAGCAGGCACTCACTAAAGGCAGATCTAGAATCTGGATCCATATCCTTAGGCCCTCAAAGACCAAGGCATGAGCTGCCACCAGGGGGCAGCAGTGAGGCCAGGCTGGACCAGGCCCGGTCAAAATTGTCTAGTGGCAGTGAACCCATTCTATGCAAGGAAGTAGTAGCTCAAGGGGACACTGAAAGTGGGTCACGTGAGCACTGGGTGCCTATGGCTCAGGACAAGCAGGTCTCAGAATCCCCTGGGAAAGCCTCTGCAAGTGGGGCTGAGGAAGCAGGCCCCCACTTGGCAGGGGCGTAGGCCTGAAGAGGGGCCTAGACCACAGACCTGTTTCCTGTGTGAGCCTGGGCCTCATGGCACTTTGCAAACTGCAAAGTGCTGTGCGTGTGTAAGGAAGGACTGTCATTGGCAGCATCGTCTTGGCTATTGTGATTATCATGTGGTTTGGTTACCACAGGGGCAGGACACTGGAGAAATCACAAGTCCAAGTGAGGAACAAAGGCATCTGCAACACTCCAGGAGAGCAATGCGTGGAGTCAGCCCCCAGGACAGGCTGTGAGCAGGCCCAGGCAGTGGGAGATGCCGCAGCTGCAAAGTGACCAACATTGTCCCTCCCTGGCGGGACCTGACAACCAGGAAGACCCGGGTGAAACGCCTATATTAGTGGATGCTTCAGCAGCAGCAGCTAGTTCCTGTTTTAGGTGGTTCCTAATTTTATTCCTGGAGACAGGAACAAGATCCTGTTTTCAGGAGCCCACATTACCGTTCCAGGGACAGGGAGAGGTGCAGCTTGGTGGCTGAGGGAGCCAGCTGGGCATTTAGAATCAGCACCTGTGTGGGAAGTGGGAGCAGAAGTCACCTAGGATTCCATGGAGATGGGGACAGTCTGCCTGAGCTGGCAGCGGGTCTCTGCACCTGTGCCCTCCACCAGCTCTATGAGGCCCTACTGTGTGTCGCAGGTATGCACTGGGAGGAGCACTGGGGCTAAGCTGGGGGAGGGCAGGGTCAGAGCTCCAGGTGGTGGCCCACAGGGATGGGCCTGAGGAACTAGAAGGCCGGGGTTGGGCCGGGGATTCAGCTCAGTGGTTTTGCTGCCTGCTGTGCAAGCTCAAAGACCTGAGTTCGATCCCCAGTACAAAAAAAAAAGAAGGCCGGGGTTGAGGCAGGTGCCACCCAGGCCAGAGAGGGAGAGAGGGACCCTCTCTGGTCAGATGGGGACAACCAGTGGAGGTGGGTTGTGGGGAGAGGCCTGGAGGTGGGGCCCCTGTTGGGAGGTACAGAGGTGTTCACAAAACAGCTGTGTAGAGGTGGGGCCTCCTGAGGCCCACAGGAAGCAGAGCAACAGTCCCAGCCCAATCAGAGGGGTGCCAAGGAGTAGGCAGGAGTTGAGGTGGGTGCTAGGGGCTCATCCTGGGGGAGGGGCCTTCTGGGCTGAGCTGCACAGGGCCCACCCCGAAATCAGGCAGATACCCCTGGGCCCCCACCCAGAACCCAGCTCTGGCCACTCACCTCGTTCAGCTGGAAGAGGGCTGAAGGGGTCCCCTGAGGGACAGCAGACAGCACGTGGATGGTAGCCGGGATGGAGACCGTGGCCTTCTTTTTCTGCAGCGAGATGGTGGGTGCTTCCTTCACCCTCAGTGAAAGTAGGAGATGCTGGCCTGGGGGTAACTTCCCCAGGGCCTAGAGAGAGGCAGGAGCAGAGCAGAGCATTTGAGGGCTGCTTCACTGCCCCAGCATTAGAGTTTGGTCAGTCAATCAACAAACACGTCTTGAGCATCTAGTGGGTACCAGGCACCGTGCCAAGCCTGAGTTTACAGCCTGACCCAGACAGGCCTGGTCTCCGCCCTACAAGGCTGACATTCAGCCACTAAAAAGTGGAGCCACCAAATCAGACTCCCTGTGTTGCAGAGAAGCAACATTCTCCCCAGGTGCACAGACCCCATGTGGTGTACCCCCCTCCGCCTCCCAGGGCCACCCCTCATGCTCCCTCTCCCCAGGTGAGGGAGCCTCGCTCCACCCATCTCAGCGCCTATCTGCCTGCAGTCCCTCTGCCTGCAAATGCCTTCCCCAGGTGACTGCTGCTTCTCTCCCTCTCAGCTTCTGCTCAAACAACACCTCAGCGAGGCCTCGCAGAGTGCACTGCGGAAGAAGCACCCTGTACCCCACCCTACTCCTCTGCTCTATGCCCTCCTCATCTGATACTGATAGGCTCATAGTCTGCTTATATTTATTTGTGTGATGGCTGCCGCCTCCTCCAGGACAGCAGCCCCTGAGCTCAGGGGCTTTGCCCCCACTTTTCATGTTTGCTCTTCTGCATCCTCAGGGGCAGGAACCTCTGAGCCAGCACAGGGCCTGGAGTGTAGCAAGTACCAATTGTGTGTTTGTTGACTGGCTAACCAACTCACATAATCAGGAAGTTCTGAGTCTCATAACCATAGCATCATGGCTTTCTAGAAGTGATGGAAATCATGAAACCATAGAAGCTTAGAACACAGAAGCATGGCCTCAGCATACTTGTACCATGGTATCTGGGGACCCATACTCCAAGCCCAGTCACCCCAAGCTGCAGGCTCATCAAGACAGGGAATCACTAGATTCCACCCTCGTGGGGCCACAGAATCTGAAGCCAAGACCAGACTCACTCTGGGGTCACATGAGTGGGCTCTATGGGCTCTTCTCAGTTGGCTCTGAGGCTGACAAAGGCATCAGTCAGGCCCAGGGGACAGTACCAGCTCCTCGAACTAGAGTGAACCAGCCCAGTAGGCTGCACCCGAGGTTGCTGTCCCAGCCCCTCTCCACTACCTCACAACTCCTGCCCTCAGGAAGTTCTTCTGGATGTCTGACTCCAGTCTTTCTTCCCTGAGACTCCTCTGCCTTTTAGCCAAGAGACTCAGAAGTGGAAGCCCCAACCTCGTTTTGCGAGACTGCTTTGAATTATCCACCTCCAAGGACTCACAGAGCTCGTCCTCTGCACCCCCAGACTCAGCTGCCACCTGCACCCTCTCAGTGAATGCCCACACTCTCTGGGCCTCTTCCCAACCTCTGTCTCATAGTCATTTGCACTTCAGGATAAATTCAGATTCTCACAGCTGGGGAGTGGCCAGTCCAGTGTCAGTTGAGTGAAGAGGAAAGTGGGGGCTGGGCCCCCAGACCTCATATTAATGGCCACTCGTCTGCTCTCCTGACTCTCCACCCTTTCCTCCCCTCTCCATAGCCAGCCCTGAGTCAGCTCTCAGGGCAAGAGAGCCAAGATCATGAGGATGAGGTAGAGGAGGGAAGGTCTCAGCAGCATGGAAAGGACCCCCTGTGCCCTACATGATAGAGCGGGTGGCACAGGGCAAATGGCTTCTGGAGAGGTCAAACCCGGGCCCTTCCTCTCCTTTCGAAGCAAATTTATTGTCGGAAGGAACATCGTGTTATTCTTTCACAGTTTAGTGTGAATGTGGACTCAACATCAACCGCAGTTGCCTGGAGAGCTGAATCGAGAAAGATGCTGGAGTCCATGCAGACTCACAGGGAAAGAGCTACTGTGTCAAAGCCCGTGTGAAGGCCACTCACCTCTGGGACCAAAGCTGCCAGGCCTGAGGTGGTCATCAGAATGTTGCTGGGAACCTAAACCCCCAGCAGGAGAGGGGGTCAGTGAACACAGAAACAGGACAGCAGGCCCTCCACACGCACAGAGCAGTGCTGTCAGTCCCTCCCTCACCCCGCCCTGCCAGTCCGACACCCACTGCTGCGAACCCTCAAGTCTGTTCTCTTCATTTTTATGTTACCAGGGACTTAACCCAGGACCTTCACACTGAGCTACGTCCCCCACCCTTTTTTATTTTTATTTATTTCTTTTGGTACCAGGGATCGAACTCCGGTCCTTGCGCTTTCAAGGCAGGCAGCAGAACCACTGAGCTAAATCCCTGGCCCTCCCTTTTTATTTTTATTTTCAGACAAGGTCTTGCCAAGTTGTTAAGTTTCCCAGGCTGAACTGGAACTCAGTCCTCCTGCCTCAGCCTCCTGAGTGCTGGGATTACAGGTGTGTGAGATCACGCCTGGCAAACTCTGGAGAAGGTAGAGGAACTGTTAACCATTCCCACTTTAGTGTAAAAATGAGCTCAGACTCAGGAAAGACTCATCTGTTGCAAGAATGGGACATTGGCTTCATTTCCTTGCCAATTCTGCTCAGAGGAAAGTTGGGAACACTTCCTGGGTGGCTGAGTTGAGAAGCATTCAGAGGTCTCACTCAGGTTTAACTAAGTACAGGGCCTCCAAGCATGAGTGATGTTCTCCCCAAGTACTGGACAGGCAGCAGTAGTGTCTGCACTGTGCACTTGCCTGGCTCTCTCTGTCACCGGGCAGGAGGCCCAGCAGGGCTGACCGGTGATGGTATGACAGGTTGGCACTGGCACTGCCCATGCATGGCAGGGCAGGAATGCCCACCCAGTGCCCCCTTCCCATGCTACTCACCAGTTCGGAGGTGATGTCTGTGTCCAGGACACCATTGGTCTGCAGGACCCCGAACACAGTGCTGAAGAGGTACAGTGGCACAGTCACCTGGGATGTGTGGTCCTCCTTGGGGGGCACCTTGATCGGGATGTGGGGCTTGGGGAAATCAATGATGTCACCGGCTACGCTCTTCACAATGGGCTGCAGGGGCAGGAGACAGGGCACAGGGCGTCTCTGGCTGCTCACCCACTGCCAAGATCCCCACCTTCGCCTTCCTGGACACCCACGTTACCCCCCTGCGGAAGGGCAGCCTGCTCAGGGGGCACTCACATTGATGTCCAGCTCTATGCACTGGTTGGAGATGAGGGGCAGGGTGGCCAGAGTGAACTCCACAGCCCCCAGACCACCGAGAGGCACAAGGGCTGCACGGGAAAGGAGGAGCAGAAAAACTCCATGAGTCAAAACCCAAGAGTAGCAGCCCCTACCTGCATTATTGAGTGTCTGCTGCATGCCTAGCACTCAACTCTGTCTTCACTTGCTGCCATCACCCTCAGGGGAGGAAACTAAGGCTCAGAAGAGGAAGTCACCAGGCCACACAGTCACAGAATGGCAAAGCAACATTCCTGGTTTCCAGAGCTGGTGCCACCGACCCATGGTCCCCCTGCATCACTTACCCAACAACCCCTGATGGGGACACCACGCCCCCAGGGCTCCCTCCTTCCCCTAGCTGTGCCTTGCTGCCCTTTCCAAAACCCTTTTATGTATAAGGACACTATATCTCCAAGAAGTGCAGGTGGGGGCCTGTGGCTGTGGGTTGCAGGGTGGGGAGCTTACTCAAGTCTCAGGGCCTCTGTCTTCTCACCTGCCCGGAAATAATGTTTTCCTCCTGCTCTGATCATGAGCACTCTGTAAATACCAGTTTGCAGCTGCCCCATGTGGAGACCTCAGCCCAGAACCTCCCCAAAGCCTCTCAGGCCCAGACTCCTTCAGGACCCACCCCACTGGAGTACCAGGAGAAGGTGCCAAGAGGAGGCAGGGGCCCCAACTTACAAAGTGTGGCTCCCAGGAGCTCATTCACCACGCCCAGCACACTGTCTACCACGGGGCACAGCTGTGAGGGGAGGAGACAGATGTTACAGGAAACCCAAGGTGAACCCGACTTGGTACAGGGGGCAGCTGTGTGTCCTCTAAATGGTCTTCTCTGTGGTGCTAGGGACCGGAGCACAGCAGGGTGTGCAGACAGGCGGGAGATACAGGTAGGGGACATGGAGGGACTGAGTGAGCCCCCAAGCCCACTTGCCTCTCTTACATGAGCCCCAGCAGAAAACCCCAAAGGTTGCTGGGGAAACAGGAAGAGAGGTTTTAGAGGCCAGATGGGGCATGGGGACAAGGCCCTCCCTGAGGATACAGCATGGCTAAAGTTACCTCAGAGACAGCAGGCCCCTCCTGCCACCCCAGGTGGTCATCCGGAAGCCTAGAATGAAGGCCCCACAGTGGGGTACCCCCTCCCTGCACCCTAAGAGCTGGGCCAAGATCCAAACTGTCATGTGCAAACCACCGCCTGGTTCTCTCACCCTGTGCTGTGACAACAGGAAGCAGACAAAGGTTTGGACTGAATGCAGAATCTGAGCCCCATAGCCTGCCAAAGTGAGGCCGAGGCCAGCCCTTCAGTCTGCACATGGTCACAGCAGTTTGCAGGCAGACAAGAGATGGCTGCTGCCACCTTGGGGCCCCAAACTTCAGAACCTCTGGGGTCAGGCAAATTACAGAAATGAGAGGAGGAGTTCAGACGCCTGGGGTGGGATGAGGCGGGGGTCCAAGCTGCAGGAAGGAGGTCCCAGGCAGCTTGGGGGTGGGGGGCAGCTCAGAGAGCCAGAAATCAGATTAAGAGAAATCTCCAACCTCTAAATGTTGGCAATGAAACCTCCTTCTGTGGCGCAGAACCCAGGTTCTGGTGAGTTGTCCTAGAGACCTCAGTTAGGGGCTGTGGGCAGATGCAGCCTCTCCCCTCACTGAAATCCACCTGAGATGGGGGTCACGGGGGTGCAGTCGGGCGAATCCCCTCCCCTGTGCAGCTGTCTTCCAAACTGGCTTCAAGCCCAGGATAGGGCTGCCACCCCACCTCCTGGGAGGCCCTGCTCCCCTCTGCTGTCTGTGGGACCCTAGCTTGTGGCTCCCACCGCCCTTGGTGAAACGCGGCTGGAGCCAGACCCAAGTGTGGTTTGCTTCCCCTCCTGAATCTTGACTGCCTAGGACAGCCATGGACACGCGCCTTGAGCAGCTGGTTCAATCAAGTCTCCTCTACCAGGCAAGGATATAGATGTCGTGATTTTCTAGGCATGACTGCCAAGCACAGGGCTCCATTTAAAATCAAGGGGGCCAATTTTAATTTAAAGCTAATTTAGAGGAAGACATCAATAATAATACAAGTGGCAAAAATAGAGCAGGGGGAGAAAAGAGACTGATATTTGGGAGCAGGGGCACTTTCTAAAGAAAGAAGCTCAGGCCAGATATCAGAGACTGGGGAAACTGTGCCGCCAGAGGCCCAACAACCAGCAGGACAGGACAGCCCTGGGCAGGAGGGGACATGCAGCTAATCCCACCTGGCCCTACTTCCCAAACAGGGCGGGGCTGCCGAGGGGAAGGCCAGCAAGGGGAGGGGCCAGCTGGCCAGGACCTCACTCACCAGTCCAGGTAGCACCTCGAACAGCGTCTGTTCCACCACTGCGAAGAGGGGTGCAGGCAGCAGCCTGGGCAGAGTGAAACACAGAGGCTGTGGCTGCCCAGTGGGAACAGCAGATGACGAGTCAGGGTGGGCACTGGGGGCTCTGCATTTCCTCTGTCTACTCTCTCAGTTGGGGTTGGCTGGGGCTTGGGGGTCTGTTTTAATCCCTGGTCCTGCCTAAGACACCACCACCACTGGCTGGCTTTAGTTTCCCCATCTGGGCAATGCCCGCCTTGTACAACTGCTGGTGCTCAGACTGGATGGGAACAGATATGAATCTGGTATGCAACCTGTGCCGCACAAGTGTCTGTCCCTTTTCTCCAACTTCTGGGTCTATAATGGTCCCCAGCTCAGCATGGGGTTCAATAAATACTTGTTGAAGGAACAAATGAATGAGGAAGTGGCCTGAGGATAAAGTCCCAGTACATGGGCTCAGGCCTGTTTGGAAGCTATGGGGGTGCAGGATCACACCCCACAGAGCCACCACCATGTGACAACATCATCCTGGACTCCACTCCATTCAAGGCCCTCTCTAGCCCAGAGGAGCAGGACAGAGCCACTGGAACTTAAGGAGGGCAAAGTCCCCCTTCGGAAGACCTCTCTGGCAACAGGAGTCCCCACAGGGTCACTCAGCTCCAGGGAGCTGACATGGCTGTCTGGGGACCCAGCGCTGCTCAAGCTGCAAGCTGGTAGAGAGAGCTTGGGGAAGCTTGGACCTAGTCAGAGAACAGCCCATCTCCCCCCCTTCGTGAGGTGTGTGACCTTGAGCAAGCAACCTTACCCTTTCTGAGTGACATTCAACCCAAGTGTGGTAAGGCCCACCATATTCTGAATGGCCCCGCAGGAAGAAACAGATGTGTTTTCTGGATCATCAAGTCCAGTCAGTCCCTCCTCATACAAAAAGGGGACACGGAGGCCAGGCAGGGAGAAGACTCCTCTGGAGTCTCACAGACAGGGCTCTGAAGTGCTAATGGCAGAGACAGATTCTAGCAGATGGGGTCGGGAGTTCAGATCACCCCAGGCTGGCTCCATCTGGGAGAGGGCCCTGGAGAAGCAGGACCCCCAGGAGCAGGCAGCGCACAGTGCAGGCGGGGCCAGAGTCCCTGTCCCAGATGGGCCTTGGTCTGGTCTGTGAGTCTGTGCAGGGGTTGAAGCCTGGGAAGCAGCAGTCGCAAGAGGAGGCCCCACCCAGCCAACGCCCGAGGTTCGAGCTGGTCCAGTGCAGCCCGGGATGTGGACTCACCCTGAGAGGAGGCTGATGTGGCCTAGCAGCGTGCTGCAGCGCTTGAGAACCAGGATGGGCGTCCCCCGTGAGCTCACGCCCAGGGCCACACGCGACGACACATTCACCTCAGCTGCCAGCTGCAGGAGGCCCCCCAGGGGGCTAAAACACTTGACATTGAGGCGTGGCCGGACGCCAGGCCTCACCCGCCAGACTGTCCTGGCCACGCCCCAGTCCCCAAGGGCCCTGGGGAGGAGCTGGTGGAATGGCCTTGCATTGAGCCCCACCTGTATTCTCACACTGTACCTCCCTGCCCCACCTACCTGTCCCTGAGCCCTCTCCCCACCCACTCTGGTGAGCCCAGGCAGTAGACCAGAGGTCTGGAGTCCAGGGAGCCACGAGGTGGAGGTCCCCAGGAGGGACGGTGGAGAAGGATCCACAGAGCATCAGTAGGGTGGGAAGAAACTGGGACCTCGGGGTGAGAGATCAAGGACCAGTAGGATGGGGTGGGGATTCCCAGTGGTACAGGAGGGTAGGGTCGCACTCACCCTGAGCCATGCAGGCCAACCTTGGTGTGAAGGTTCAGCTGCACCCCAAACCCTGGTAGCAGCTTCAGTGACACCTTTGGCAGTGTGAGCTCCTCGATCTTCAGGCTGGGGTGGGAGAGGAAGTGGGGCTGCTCACTCCCACATACACCCCCATTCCACCCTCACCACCACGGGCACCTGGACCATCCCTGGCCACCAGGACCCAGAGTCTCTCTTGGGAACGTCCCCTGTCCCACCTAAAACCTATAGAACCAACTTTGATCCCGGGGCCAGTTACTCCCCCTCCCTGGGCCTCAGTGTCTTCATCAGCAAAGCGGGGCAGCACTGGTACCTGCATCCTAGGGATGTGGTTAAGAGGAGTGAGGTAATGTAGGTGCAGACCCCAAATGTAACACTATAGCATCACAACTGGAGGCTCAATGAAAGAATTTTCTCCCTACCCTTTCCATGGCTTCAGCCTTGGTTTGGTTTCTGGCCTCGACATTGCTTCCACCTGCACCCTGCAAGCTCGCTCATGCACACCCAACCCAGAGTTCTCAGATAAGAAGCTCACTGTTCATTACTCTCTCCAGCCCAGGTCACTCTTGTCCAGGTCACCCCTCCCTTAACTCTCTTTCTACTTACATCCTCCTTCAGCTGGCTGAATCCTACCTCCCAGCTCTCCTGTTTCCAGCCAGGGCATTCTGTCCTCCAGGAAGCCCTCCTTCCTGGTTCCCAGCCCCAGGCAGCTGCCCTCTGTGCTGCCTCTGTCACTGATATTGGTGTGATATTGCCACTGTCAGGCTCTGCCACATACTGGGAGTTCTTTGAGGTAAGGACAATGTCAGGTTCATGTCTTAGATACCAACTTCACCCAGCAGGAGGGTTCCACAGTGGGAGAAATACTGACTATAACAATTCTAATAGAATTTATTGAGCATTTACTGTGTGCCAGACTTTATTTTAGCTGCTTGACACAGATTAACTCGTGTTCTTGACAACAACCCCCTGAATAGCTGCTAACCATGCAACCAAAGTCAGAGAGTTCCAATCTTAGCTCTGCCACTGACTACGGCCCTGGGCAAGTGACACTGCTGCTGTATGTCTTATCTTCCAGATTTTTACAATAGAGATATTCCAGACATGTGTACTGCTTTGAGAGGCAGACACACATTCTCCCTTTTTCTGCTCCAGCACCCTATTTCTGCCTACCATCCCCCCGTGGCCTGTTTTTTTTCCCCCTGGCTTTCAGTCTGCTCAGCAGCCAAGTGCAGTGATAACGGTCCACCCTCTGGCTTTGGGAGGACAATTCACTGGCAATGCTTAGCCTGGTGTCAGACACACAGAAACCTGGAGTGGGTGGTCATTACATATAATTATTAGTTATTATGTGATTTCTTTCATTCATTTAAAAATTATTTTGGGGCACCTATTGTATATCAAGCCCTATTTTTGATATGAGGACACGGCAATGAACATTTCAGATAAAAATCCTGGGGATTATAATCTACCCAGGGAGACAAGAATGAACTAGTAAAATGCACGGTGTGCAGGGGAGTGACATGTGGCCTAGGGACCTTTGGGGTGTGTGTAAGAGGGCCAGTCTGCTGGGGCAGCAGTAGCAGCATCCCTCGGCCCTGCAAGGACTCACCCAGAGAGCTTCTCCACCACACCGAAAATCCCTCCGTAGCCCAGCAGGCCACCTCCTCCAAGCAGCCCCTTGGAGCCCAGGAGGCCTTGGTTCAGTGATGTCACTGTGCCCAGCACATCCTGCAGAATGGGCCCCCCGACCAGTGAGTTCTGGATGGCTGCAAAGGGTGAGAATAGGAAGATGCTGGAAACTCCTGCCCAGCTGCAAGACCATGGCAGCTGCTCCTTTCCTCTGAGCTTCAAGAAATCTTTTCAAGTGCTAGGGATGGAACTCAGACCCTTGCACAGATTAGGCACGTGCTCTGAGCTATGCCCGGGCCCAGAAAACCTCTGTTTTTTTTGGAATTGACTCACATGTTACAGTCAAATATCAGAAACCACAACAACCCCCTGCTGCCACCACAGGGTCGGTGACCTGCCTGGCACGCAGGAGGTACCCAGTGATTGTGCAGTATGAATGAGTGAATCCTGTGGGGATCTTTTAATTTTGCAGATGGATAAACTAAGGCCCAGAGAGGGGCAGAGATTTTCCCAAAGTCACACAGTAAATCAGGCTTGGGGCCAATAGTATACCTTGGGCTTTGGATCCTCGGCAGGCTGCTGCACCAAAAGGGCAGATAGAACTAAAGGACAGGGAACCACCTGGGCTTAATCGTGGTGGATGGGATACCTCCTTCCCCTGGGGCACCCCAGGCCTGAGTCCGTGGTTATAAAGGCAACATGGAACAGACTGCCCTGTGGCGGTTGGGACAGGCCTGGGTCGCCTCCCTGAAGTGCTTCCTATTCACAGCCACTCTACTCCTTCCCCGAGACTGTCACCCATCGTGGGCCACTAGGAGCAGCCAAAGCCAAATAAAAGGGCTGCACCTAAAACCCTGGGGCAGAGAGTGGCCCAGCCCCCACCCTCCCAGCCCCTCCTCAACCCACCTGTACCCTCCCCAAGCCCCAGCAGCCCACAAACAGCCTCAGCCAGATGGCCCAGTCCTTGCTAGAGGAAAGGCATTAGTCACCCTCTGCCCTCAGAGCCTGCAAGCCAGCCCTGAGCATCCTACTGTTGCTCCCAGAAGCCCAGGCTTTTCTGTCCCTCGGGGCAGACACAGTGCCTGCCTGGCCTCACCTTTGACGAGTTCATCCTTGTCGATCCGAGCAAGCGTGCCCACGGTCTCAAGCAGCCCCTCGCATGGGGTAGCCAGGCCCCAGAGCAAAAGCAAGGACCACACTCCCAGCATGGCTGAACACCTGGAAGGGGTGGGAGCAGGAGCTCTGAGACGGTCCTCGTGCCCAAGCCTTTCCATGCCTGCTTCCCTCCAGTCCATCTGGCCAATCCCAAATTCAGGTTCACTCCAAGAAAAGGCCTCTCCAGCAGCCACCAACATGTGCTGAGACTCCCAGGCCCTTTTCACGTCTTTCCCTCACTGATCCCATTTCACAGATGGGAAAACTGAGGCCAGAAAATGGAGAGGACTTCACCAAGGCCCCAGAGCTAATCAGCGGCAGGGCCAGAATTCCAGCCTGAGCCTGCCTGACCTAAAAGTCTCAGGCCCTGATGAGCCTGTCGAGGTCTGGAGTGAAAGCCACATCAGGGCCTCTCCACCACGGCAGGATGAGAGCTGTGGCTCTGGACTGGTTCCTGCTGGCTCCTGAGGCCATTTCCGAAGGAGTGGCTTGTTGGGGACGCCAGACACTTAGGCTTACCATGTCCCGCCTCTGTTGTCTTCTGCACCTCCATCCCAAATGCTGTTAATTGGGAAATGCAGTGGGAGGTGGGAGCATGGCTAATTACTAGTCTCAGAATGCTTGTCTTTTAGACTTCCACGTCTGCCCGCCCAGTCATTTATCCATCTATCTTGGATGAAAACCCAGGGTCCTTGTCATTACCCACAAACTCCCTTACCTGCCTCTTTGGGCTCCTTGGCCTTAAGCATGCCAAGCCCTTTCCTACTTCAGGGCCTTCACACATGTTCCCTCTGAAGAGAAACCTCTTCACCTGAGTCACTGAGGACTAACCCTTATCTTTCCTCTCTCCCCTTTTCCTTGTCTAAAGAGGCTGGCCAATCACTGAATATTTATTTTAAGGTGCTCATCACAATGCATCAATGCAGCATGTGAGAGTGTCCTTGTTTGCCATCTCTGAAAGCTCCCTGAGGGCCTGGGACGGTGGGTGGGACTTGTGCCCTGGCTGCATGCTGAAAGGTGGCATCTGCCAGAGAGCAAGGCTAGAACCCCACAGCCCTGTGTCCTGGTGCTGGGTCTGCCCAACTGGTGCAGCACTTTCTCCACCTTGATGCAAAGGCACTGTGTGTCCCAGCAGCAATCCTGCTTGTCCATTTGGTTTCCCCAAGTCTCATCCCTGTCACCTCTGGAATTCCTCACCGAAGATGGGAAGCCAGTAGGGTCCCATAGCTCTAGAGAAAAATGGGGCTCCCTAGAACCAGTGTCCACCCTCCAGGTAGCCGTGGGCCCTCCTAGGGTGAATTCTTCATGTGCTCATTATTCAGATGGCACAGTAGGAAGTCAGAAGGCCAAAGGCTGAGGTCAGGACAGGACCAGGGCTGCCCCACGCAGCCTTACCCACTGCTCCTGCCAATCCACACTGGTGGCTGGGGGCTCAGGCCTCCTGTCGGTTCCTCTAAACACCTGAGGCCAGGAAGGCCCTTATAAGCACACAGCAGCCCTGGGGACACAAAGCGGGCACAGCCGCCAGGAACCCGTCAATATGTCATGTCAGAAGCAAATTGCGGTTTTTCCCGAGGGCTGAACTAAGCCTTCCTCTGGGGGAGAGTGAGGGGGCTGGGGTGGGTGCTCAGGGGCGGGACGCAAAGTGTGGGCACTGCAGATGCCCCCCCCACCCCTGCCCCAGAGCTCGATGGGGTGGGACCCTGCCACGTGTGTTCTGCTCCCTGTTGGGCTCCCTCCAGTTCCTCAAAGCCACCCCTGTGACACAGAATCTACACTGCCTTTCCCCACCTCCTCAGAGGCCCAGGAAGGGAAGACAGCAGCTTGAGGCTGCTGGGCCTCTGACCCTCTGCCACTGGGGCCGGGCATGGAGCTGGCCATGGGCCTGGAGAAAGGGACTCTGGGAAGTCATGGAGAAGGCCCAGTATTCCCAGGACTCCAGAGCAGATGCTTTGCCCCATTTCTGTGGCTGATCCAGACTACAGTGAAGAGAAATTCATTCCTTCCTTCATTGTTTATTCTACAGCAGGCATTTTCCAAGCATCTACTGTTTGCCTGATACTGGGGACACCCCAGTAAGTAGGAGACAGAGCCCTGCCTGGAAGAGCTGAGTGGTGGCAATACAATGCTGTTTGAAGTTTTCTAGCAGCCACAATTTTTTTTAAAGTTTAAAAATGACAGTGAAATTAATCTTAGCAGTATAGTTTATTTAACGAATATATTGGAAAAATTATTATTTAACACATATTCAACATAAAATTATCAATGAGATGCTTTGCTTTTGTTTTTTCTCATACTGACATATACTAACTTTTCCAAATCTGCCTACAGCACTCTAAAACTTGAGCTTGCCACACATCAGGCAGTCACCTCATGTGGCCATCGGCTGTTATGGGGCTGCACCGTTCCAAGGGAACAAATACCCACAGGACACAGAAGTGAGAGGCTGGAGGCAGAACTACAGTGGGGCAGGGCCAGGAGCCACACTCAGCAACCCGGAGAGGCTGGGGCTGCTGCAGGAACCACAGTGAGGCCAGCGGGGATGTGGGGCCACCACGGTGACAGTGCGGACTCACAGGCTCTGGCTTTTATTTGCAGTTCCTCGGCAGGTGCCTGTCCAGGTGAAGGGCCGCCTCCGAGCCCTCGGTCCTTGGGAATTTCTCTCCCAGAGCTATGACATCCCCAGCATGTCTGGGGGTCTGTGTAGGGCACGAGTACCATCCTAGGGGCATGGGGAAGAGGGATGGTGACCTCAATGACTGAACCTAACCTACTACCTATTGCTCCTGATGACCCATAGCATGCTTCTGAAAAAATTAAGTTTTTAGTGAAAAATAGACACATGCAGAAAAGGGCGGAGCTCAGGTGTACCACTCCATGAAGTTTAAAGGGAGGCTCCCCACATGTCCCCTCTGACTCACCCCTTCCTGACACAGTGGAGGAGTCCCTGTGTGCCAGAGGGCCAGCAGTACCCGATGACCCATGTGCCCTTTTGTGCTGGCTCCCTGTGTATGGTGTCTACGGCATTCATCCACATGGTCCTGCGAGGTGCCAGCTTGTTCTTTGCCAAGGACACCATGTGTGTGCAGCCCACCCTGTCCAGAGACCTCCCAGGTAAGCCCTCCCAGGTGTGGCTACTAACTGATGCTGCTGTGAAAGTTCTTGCCAAGGCTTTGGGGAGATATATGTCTTTATTTTCCATTTCTCTTGGGTAAACAACTACAAGTGGAATCGCAGGGTCAGAGTGTGGTGTGCACACTTAACTATAGTAGTGACCACTATGGTGCTCCCAAACAGCCACGCAAAGCCACCACACATTCCCACCAGGCTTCCCACCACATTCCCTCCATGCCCTGGGGGTCACCCAAGCATCTAAGTTTGAAGGAAGAAGAAAGACAGCTAACACCTAGCATTTATTGAGCACTAACTGTGTATGTGGCAGCGGGTCTGTGTGATCACATATAGTCATAACACAACCCAGTGCTGAAGTTATCTCCTCTTTCCACTCTAGGAGCCAGGGCTCAGCAGGGAAAGTGGCTTGCCAGGGCCATGCAGAGGTCCCACCAGGCCATCTGACTCTATGCCCACATCCTGCCTGGCTCAGCCTCTGGGAAGGGAGGAAAACACTACCAAACCCCTGGCTTGCCTTGTCTCCCCAATTCCTGCCAGACCCAACCCCCAGGACTCCAGCTGCATCCACTCCCCAGGCACCCCCATCACCCCTCACATCAAAGCTGGGTCAAGGATTGGGTCTGTGTGTGGGAAGAATCTCATTTAAATCCGTGTCCCTGGGGCCCCAGCTGTGGCAACCCTGACTCCACAGTCGGGGTGCAGGAGCCAGAATAAGCACATTTACCAGCCTCCAGGGCAACACTATGAGCAGTCACGGTAGTGGATGTGGTGAAGATGAGGGAGCCAGGAAGGGATAGAGCAGAGGAGGAGATATTTGCCCCTAGTGAACTCTGGAGCCAGAATTCCAGGTTCAAATCCCAGCACCGTCACTTGATATCAAGTATCAAGTGACTTACTTCCTAGAGCCACAGTTTCCCCATCTGCAAAACGGGCTAATGTTAAAGGTGTCCACCCTCATCTAGGCCCACTGTGAGGTCAAGTATTCTGGAAGGGGACTTTGGGATAGCAAGGGAGGGGTGCCAGGGGGATTCAGGTGATGGTCACGCCCCTGGGAGGCCTCCCTGGGGGCACTGAGTAGAGACTGGGCTGGGGAGGTGGAAGCGCAGGGTGGGGCAGGTGTGGCTTGTGAGGACTCAGGTGGAGGAAACATCACTTGGGCAGCCTGGGAGGTCCCCAGAGGCTGACAACTGTGGGCTCAGGGTGGCAGCCTGACTCTACTCCCGTTTTGCTCTGTGTCCTCAAAGGATGACAGTGCGTCTGCTGCTGAGTGTGGTGTGAGGGCCAGGAGAAGACTGGCCTGCGCAGATGGGGCTCAAGTCCAGCTCTACCTGCATCAGCTGCTCTTGGGCAGGTTGCTTCATCTCTCAGAGCCTCCTCTTCATTATCTAGGGTTGGGGAGTCCTGCAAGGTGAGCAGCACCCAGTGGGACAAAGAGTGTGGGGACATAGGAATATGGGGTCCCTTTGCCCCCACTTCCTGCCCAGGGAGAATCTCAAGTAACTGACCACCCGAAGACTCGTGGGGTCAGATTAGAGGTCAGGGCATGCAATCCTTTTCTCACTGTACAGATAGGGAAACTGAGGTCCAGAGAGGGGCTGTGGCTTGTATGAAGCCACACTGCGTCCAGGGTCTGATGAGAACCCAGGCCTTCCAACTCTAACAGCCTTATGCCTTGATTTCCATGTCTGCACACGGGCAGGAGAAAGTGACAGGATTGCTGTAGGTGGCCATGAGGCTGCTGTTGGACACACAGGCAGAGGTGGGGGGAAGAGGGGTGTCTCTAGGAGGGCCAGGGTCAGATGTCACCGCCCATGGATCACCCAGGCGTCTGTACCTGCCAGACCTGCCTCAAGGCTGCCACTGTCTCCGAGCTGGAGAAATGACAGGTGATGGAATTAGGGCTGAGAGAGAGATAAGGGGGCAGCTCTGGCATCCAGGGCTCCTTTGTCTGTGGCATGGGCCTGTGCCAAGCTGGGATGGAGTCCAACTGGTAGGGCCTCACAGGCTTGGGGGACACTGGTCCCCTGACCAGGCCCCTGATTACACCACAGACACATGCATGTGCCCAGGCACACACCCATCCATACTCACGCCCAGACCCCGCATCCAGACTCACCCACAAGACAGACATTCTGGCAGATGAACACACAGTGTGGACATAGACACGCAGCCGCCGCTGCCCTCATCACAGTTCCAAGCTGGAGCAGCAGCTGACCACAGGGGACCTGATGTGCTTTTTTCCTCAAAGCTATTGGATCTTTTCTTTCTTCCTTTCCTTCTTTTTTTCCATTCTAGCAAGTAGCACTGATTTTCAGGATCTACTTAAAATTATTTTTAACTCAATTATGTTAAGTATACATTCACTTTAAAATGAATCAATTTAAGAATATTAGGGCTGGAACGTAGCTCAGTGGTAGAGTGCTTGCCTGCCATGTGTGGGCTTCCATTCCCAAAACCAAACCTGCCAAAAAAGCGAAGCCCAAAGAGGAGGCAACGGGGACAGATGAAGCAAGTGTCAGGCTGCTGATCCTCACGTGAGTGTGGAGCATAGAAACTCCCTCCTGGCCCCTCTGTGTGACAGACTGTCCCCTGGCACATGCTCATCACATACATGCACATGATGGCTCACGGCCACACCATGACAGAGACCCCTGCTCCTATTTCTTTCAG